TACTGCCAAAAAAAGAATAAAAGTGTCATTTATTTTATGAATCTCAGGAGATTCTATATGTGAAGGAGATTGTATTCTGGCCTGGTGTGTGTGTGTGTGTGTGTGTGTGTGTGTGTGTGTGTGTGTGTGTCTAATGTTGGTATACTTACCAGTTAAATACTCTACAAAAATTAACCCAATATGGAATGCACGAATCATCCACTGATCATCTTAAGTACTACAATGATTTTGTAAACCTCTTGTAAAATTATTAGTTTTTCTTTCATTTAAATATAAACACCCATTGAGTATTTTTCCTCTGTGGAACAATCAAAGGATACATAGTTCAAGACAAATGATAATTCCAAATTTAAGAATTTTGATATAGAGAAAAGGCAAACAACACAAAGTATCTCACCTATTCCATATGCATTTTTATGCAATGTTTTGGAGTCAGTGAAAGGTAGTAGGAAAATGAAGATAATTGATGTCACCCACTTCATGGTTGTGGTTATCTCACTGCTGTCAGCAGTGGAAGCCGTATAGTAACCATCAGGCTGCAGTTCTCTTATACCCTTCACAGGCAATGCCTGTTAACCAGTAACCTTTTGTTGGTATATCCATTGCCTTACTTCCTTAGGGTGAAAATGGGATGATTTGTTAATAATTGACAGCACAAGCGTTATTTGTATTTTATGTTCAAGGACAGAGACCTCTTCTGAGTGGGAAAAAGAGGGGAAGTCTTTCAAATTCATTTTATTTTACAAATAAATATTTTATTTTACAAATATTCTCTCAAACTACAAAATATTCAATGGTAATTTTTCCCTTAATTGCAGCATGATTAATTCCATTCAAATTAAAAGTTTAACATAATTTTAAAAGACTCCAGACTTAATATTCAACTCAACTAACAACAGCAATTTTTTAAAAATATCAATGTAAGGGCTGGCCAGGTAGCCCAGCTGATAAAGTGCCTGCAAGCAGGCACAGGGGCCAGAGGTTTGATCCCCCAACCTGCTGTGACGGCCCCACCCGCCAGGGTACACTGAGATGGCAATTGAGACTAGGTGTGGTGGCATGCGCCTGTAATCCCAGCTCTTGGGAGGCTGTAAACAGGTGGATCACTATGAGTACAATCTAATACTGAGACCTTGAACACCTTATAGACCCTGCCCTAAAATACAAAAAAAAAAAAAAAAGTAAATGCAATGCCTATCATATATCAGTCACTAAACACATTATTTGACCAATTCAGACTCCTTTTTCAATAATACATTTTTAGTTTTGCCCATTTTCTGGTTTATGAGGTCATTCTGTATCCTTTCAGGAATAGGCCTTGCTCATATACTTTCCAATCAGAAAGTCAGAGGTATTTCTGACTTTTCCAAATATTCGCTTGCCAGAGCACTATTCATAAGGTAGAGTTCTCCTGTTCCTGAACAGGGATTGTACTCGAATATATGCAATAGTTATGAAGAAATGACTGATAAATCATTGAAATATAGTTCTATGAAGCAAACTACATGCAGCATTTCTAAGTACAGACAAAATAATCCAAAACCTTTCACAGAACCTAACCCAGAGCGAAGGCTTAGTAACCCTGGCTGAATGAGTAACAAGTGCATTTATGCAAAGACAAGACTTTAAAGTGGAGGAAGAGGCTTCATTTTGCAAATCCCAGGTTCCACAAATTCTGAGATTGCTCACTTGTGGACTCGAGCTTTTTTTTTTTTTTTTTTTTTTTTTTCATATCCTTCCTGGCCCTGGGAATCAACCTCCCTCTTTCATTCTTCCCAAATTGATATATTCCAGTGTCTGGATTCTGAATCTTGGAAAGGTTGATTTGTTGCTGTTTATGGCTCTGCCATCCTCCTGGAAGTCTGCTCTGAGCTCTTCGTAACTTTACAAACCACATTTCAGGTTTTATGCTAATATATGTGTAATCTATAAGACTGGATAATTCAATTTCATTGCCTCGTCAAAGGTTAGAGGAGGTCATGAGGATTTAGCTTGGTAGTAGAACATGTGTCTGGAAAGCTTAAGGCCCTGAGTTTGGGTCCCAACAGCAGAATAAATAAATAATAAATGAATAAGTGCTTGTTAGGAGGATCATGTAAAAGTGTCTAGCAAGCAACATGCCTTCACTAAATTACAACTCTTTCAATATTATAAATACACATATAAATAAACCCATAACTTCAAATAATACATACATATCAGACTAGAGATGCATGATGCCAATTGCCAGTTCCAACACTGAGCTCCTGTCCTCCCTTTTGGATCTTTTCTCTGATATGCCACTGGCTTTGTCTCATCCTTTAATTTCTGACATCCAGCCCAGCAGGCTTCTGTTGTCCTAGGCCATGATCAGAGCAGTGATTCCATGTCATGGCTAAACATACGGATTTGGGATCTAGGTTTGAATTTTACCATGTCACTTATTAGCTCCCTGACTTTGAATGAGTTATTTAATTTTTCTGGGCTTTTTCATCATATACAAAGTAATGTTAAGAATATCTCCTATGATTAAGTGAATATTAAATAAATTAATATGCATAAGTAGCTCAGAACAGGGCCTGGCCTGGAGTACCACTACAGATGAGGGTTTATTTGTTCATCAAACAAGAATGTTAAGTTTGTATGCCAAAAACTGTTCTTTGCTGGAAACGACCAACAACACACAGCATCACCTGTCTTCTTGCTGAGCCTCCCAGCTGCCAGGAGAGCCAAGCAACGGCACCAGGAACACCAAATGGAAAGCTGCAACTGTGATGCCAGGGTAAGAGGAGCACCTGGCAGCTTAGGAGGGGCCAGGATTGTTTCAGAAGCTAACACTGAAGGAGAGACCTAAGCAAAATTGGAGGTAGAGCAGATAAGGAGGGAGGACAGAGGTATGCCAGTATGTAGGTGGGACAGAAGGTATGTAGACGGCAATGTAAAGGCCCATGGCAAGGGAAAGCACACCTTTAAGGAAAGAAGGAAAATGCTGCTCCCATCAAACACAAGGTGTGAAGACAGGAGAACTCGTTCTGCAGAGGACATTTCTGGCAAATCAGTAGGACCTTTTTAAATCAAGTCTATATCTCACACTAAAGCAACAGGGGACCACAAAGGGGAGCCAATAACAACTGTGTATTTTGAAACTGGCTCTATTGATACAAAAAGGACAGGGCTTCCATAAAAGAGAGAAAAGGGAAGCTGCTACAAGAATATGTTCCAGTAGCAGCCTGGATGACAGCAGTGCTGATAGGAAGGAAGAGGTGTGGATAAAAGTGTATAATATGAATGGGACAAAGTTAAAAGGATTTAGCAACTGAATATATGTCCAATCTGGGCTGTATTAGCTCTAAGGCAGGGTGATCAGTTTATCCAAACAGTCTGTGCCTGTGCCTGTTGACTCAGTGTAATTAATAACCAAGCCCCGCTTTCAGAAGCATTCTAGGCATATCAACATGTCTGCCTGTAATAGTGTCTTTAAACTCTAAATGCAGAGGCTTAGGGGCATTTCAATAGTACTTGTTCTTGGAGCAAGATTAAGGGGAAGGAGATTGGAGATCAGAACTTCTAGAAGGTTCTTGTAGCCATGTAAGTAGATGACAGAGACTGGGTGCCATGGCACACGCCTGCAATCCCAGCTCTTGGGAGGCTGTAACAGGTGGATCACTACAAGTCCGATCTAGTAGTAAGACTCTGAACATCCTGTAGACCCTTCCCTAAAATTAAAAGGGGGGAGAGAAAGAGGGAGGGAGAGAATATAGTTTTAAAAAGGTGGAGGAACCTGAGAATGACCAGACCTACAGGGTGAGAGGAGAAAAAGGGGGGCTCTTAAGCAGAGTGGCGGTGCTAACTGTGAGCAGTCCTCCCTCTGCCTGTGCCTTGCTCCATGTTTAGCAGAGAGCTCGCAGCAGATACCTTTCCACTGCTCTGTTTCCAAGCCTGTTTAAGCCTTGATGCTGCCCAGAGGCCCTGTGGCACAACAGGCTGGACTGGGAATCAGAAGTAAAGATGCTAGGCTTGGCTGTGACAGTAATTTGGCATTTGACATCAGGCAAACTTTAATCTGCCTTAATCTTAATTTTCTCATAAATATCAAAATAATATTTCCTTTAAGAATTATTTTGATTCATAGATGAAATGATATATTTTACATGCAGACTTTTTGAAAGGTAACACTAATTATTACCATGAGTAACACTGCTTTAGTGTAAGATATTAGATATATTATATCTCAAAACAATTGAGTAGTACATGTGGGTTGTTAGAAATACCTTCTGTACCTCAATCTTGGAGGACATTATTTCCTTTCTCTCTGTGTTGGCATGGGTGGGAGCTACTTTGAAAATGTGATTTTTTTAAATATCTATGCCTCTTTCCCATCAATGCTTGTAAAAACAGTACCACTCTGTATTACCACAAATATTTCTCCACATGTATATTTTTTGATCACTCCTTACTTAGAGAAAACTTTCTTACTTTTGATAACCCATAACAATATTAGGTTGTTTTCTCAATAATTATTTCATTTTCTATCAGTCAGTTGTAAGCTATGCAATTCTTCCTAGTCAGTTAACTTCTTGAATTCAGGTACACATCTTTGTGACTCTTATGGTGCTCAGCACCACATCTGCCACACAGTACAATCTTTATAACTTGAAATTCAATGGTACTGAATCAGATGTGTAATTATGCACTGACTGTCTTCACTCATTGACACAATGAATGACACAACTCTGCATTCTTCCTGACATTGAACATTACTGATTATATAGTAATGTAATTATTATATTAATTAATATAAATTAATAATAATTTATATTAATACACTACATTAATGCTTGCATTTATATTTTCTCTAATGTTCATGTCCAGAGCCCTCATGATAGATCTGCAAAGCAAGCAGTATCTACAGTCTTGAGAGGAAACCAGTAATTTTTGTTTTCAGATGCAGAGCTTAAAATGAATATCATAGAACAGATATGATCAGCTGTCAGGAGAATGAGTGTCCCAAAGTCCTTCATCCCAATAAAATTCTTCTGTCCCTTAAGATTTATTCATTCCATTTAACAGGGGAAAACAGAATTGCCACCAATACAGCCTCCATAAGTCTAAGAAGTCTAGGACCCGAAGCACTGCCTATACTTATCCTTGACCTCTTCAGTTCTCATTCGCCGGTGCTGTTAAATTCTCTCTTACCTTTATATGCTGTCTTTTCCCTGTTCAAGCTACATATGTCCTACCCACAATCACTTTTTCAAAGAACCTCAAACAATTTTATATCATATAACTAGTAATCAAACATAAAAAGTCTTTTCTAACTTGTATAAACACAAGTAGGCCCTTCATACTCAGGCCTGCCAACCTCCTTTTGCTTGGCTCTTTCTTTTTTAATCTCTTCTCATCTAGTCCTATGCCCTCTTGCAGATTTTAAGTACAGCAAATGAGCCCTCTCTTTGTATAATTTGACTTCATTTAGATCATGTTCTACACTAGATTTCACCTGTCACATTTGTTTA